TCTTTCTTTCTTTCTTTCTTTCTTTCTTTCTTTCTTTCTTTTCTTTTTTATTTAACTTGGAATTTTGTACAAGCTAGGCAAGGGTTCTGCCACTGAGCTATGGCCCTAAACCCAAGGGTTTTGTTTGTTTGTTTGTTTGTTTTTGAGACAGGGTCTCCCTACAGCCCTAGCTGGCCTGGAATTCACAAGGTGGCTTCAAACTCACAGAGATCCACCTGCCTCTGCCTCTCAAATTCTGGGATTAAAGGTGTGTACGCTCATGCCTGGCTCCTCTTCTTTCTGAAGCAGAGTCTCAGGCAACTTATTATATAGCTGAAGGTGACCTTGAACTTCAGGTCCTCCTACCTCTACCTACAAGTACTGGAATTGTAAGCAAGCACCACCATGCTGCGTTTTATGTGGTGCTGGGGATTGAACCCAGAGCTTCCTGCATTCTAGGCAAGCACTCAACCCACTGAACCGCATCCCCAGCTCACCCTTTTTCCCTTTTGAGGTTGATTCCCAGGAGTCAATTGGGCCTTGTGCCTGGTGCAGGGCAGTGGTGCTCTGTCTCATGGATTTACTCGCAGGCTTGTGCCTTGTGTTTCACCTCAATCCTTGTCACCCAAGAGGCCTACAAACCAGCAGACATTTTGTTTGTTATTTGTTATTTCTTGTTACCTAGACTATTCTCTACCTGTGACCCAAGCTTGCCTGGGAGGTCCTCCTGCCTCTGCCTCCAGAGCACTAGTATTCTGTTAGTATCACAGGCTGTGCAATCATGCCTATTGTCCAATAGTGGTTTATTCTATTTACATTTGTTTATTGTGTGTGGGTGTGCTCATCACATGTGTGGATGTCAGAAGACAACCTGTGAGAGCTGGTTTTCTTCTCCTACCACCTGAGCTCTGGAATTTGAACTCAGTTCATTGTCAGATTTGGCAGGACGCTCTTTTACCCACTGACCGTATCCCTAGCTCCTTAACTTAATTTTATTAATTTTATTGTTAGTAGTGTGTATGATGTGTGTGTTGTCTGTGTAAATAAATGCCACGTGGGTGTGAGTGCCCATGGAGTCAGAAGAGGACCTCACATCCCCTGAAGCTGGAGTTACAGGTATTTATGAGCCACTGATAGGAGTCCTGGGAACCAAACTTGGATCCTGAGCCATCTCTCCAGCCCCTGCGATAGTGTTTTGATCCCATGTCATGTGAAACAAAGAAAGCAAAGGCAAGAATTTTTTTTTGCATAGTCTTTGTATTTATTGTGTTTTTTTAAACGTTTTTACTTGTTTATATATCAAAAGTGAAAAAGAGCATACATAACCAACACAATTTCAAGAACATTTTGACCCCACATTTGGGGACCCCTTGTGGGTACACGGTATGTGGCTGTCCAGTGCATAATGAACACAGAAAAGAAAAAAGAAAACACCAAAAAACAAAGAATGAGAATTTTTTTTTTTTTGGTGGAGAATGTATTAGATTCAAAATGGGCTTCTGCAGGATTACATTCACGTCACCTCCATGTGCAATTCTTCAATAAATTGGTTTTCCCATCATATGCCCAGCTAGAAGGCTTTCAGAAAAGATTATCTAACTAAGGTGGTTCATCCAGGGCTGGCTGTCTCTTTCATCAACCCCCCCACCCCACGTGTCTACTGCTCACATACAGCAGCCGGAAATGACACATTGGAGTGAGTCACCAGGGCGGCTCTGAGTCATCCAGTAATTGGAGAAAGTTCTGTCCTGTTAGGTCATGCAGCCCCTTTTGTCTTTATGTTCCTGAATATATTGGAAAAATTTGAACGGTTTTGCCCTCCCTCAAATCTCTCCCCTCTCTTCCATCCCATCTTTTTTTTTTGGTCCTTAACCTGGGCCGCCAAGAATCTAGGAAGAAGAGCCACAGGGGGCTCTGGCCCCCACTAGGTGGCAGTGTGAGTTCCATCGCCTGAGCAGGTCAGAGGGAAAGAACTGAGATCCACGGGTATAGACCCCAAAAAGAACACCGTGTGTCATAGTTTAAATAAATGTTTTCCTTAACATTCCTACTTCTCTCAACAATCACACAAGGGCAATAAAATGATAAATATTCAAGCATACCCCAGGTATCCTCCCTGCTGTTCAAGGGAGGGCGAGATGGGGTGGGAGGAGGCTCAACACTGAGCGAGCATTTCATCTCTCCATCTGCTGTCCCCTCTGAGCTGGGCAAGGTGGTCAGTTCCACAATGGACCTTGAGCTGGAAGAACGCTTCTTCCTTTGGCCCACGGCCAGCCTCCGCAGCAGAGGCAGAGTGTAAGCCAAGTGGCTCCATCCTGCTGAGGTCTTGATAGGTACCAGGTCCAAAGACTGACTGGGTAGAAAGATGGGCAGACATAGGCTCTGGGTTGGAGAACTTTGTGCAACAGGGGTCTCTAGAGAGGGAGTTAGACTCAAAGGTCCTCTTTTTCCTTCACTAGTCTGAGTTGGGAAAATTTACCACTCTGGGGAGATAATGGCAAACTTATTTTTCCTGAAAGAGCCATGAGAACAATAATTCTTTTCCTTCAGTGTTTCTTCCCATCTGATGCAGCTCCAGTTTTGTCCCAAATGAAGACTTCTCTTTTCTCTGTCTAAGGCTCCATCACTTGGCCCATGAAAAGCACTGTCTCTGTGGGTGGAAGAATTAGGAGGTTGAGAATTGGATAAACTGAGATTAGAGGAGGACGAGTGAGACATCAGTGTGTCACCGCTGCCAACTGACTAGGTTAGGACTGGAGTCCCAGCACTGTGTGGGCTATGACAGAGTGCTGAGGACCGGAATGGAACCCAGGTTCCTGGGGGAACAACTGTGGGCTAGTATATACCATTAAGATGGGAATGTTTGGGGTTCTGGGCTCACCTGTAGGATTGTGCCGAACTACAAAGAGGAAGGGTCGGTCCATGATGATCTCTTCAGGGGCCATGCGGCCTGAGACCAGAATTGCTGAAAGGGAAGGGATAATGTGTTTAGGTTGTGGGAGACATTGTCACCAGGTCCTGGACTGACCCCAAGAAATTTATTGACATCTGTCTTATCTGAGGGCAATACCAGGTGATGGTGTTCAGGTTGCTTTTTTTTTTTTTTTTCAAACCTGGTACTGAACTCAGGGCTTTGTGCCTACTAGGCAAAAGTGCTACTGCTGAGCCTTGCTCCTAGTCACTCATTAGGGTATTCTAGGCAGGTGTTCTACGACTGAGCCACACCCCAGCCCCTTACTGGGGTACTGTAGGCAGGTGCTCTACCACTGAGCCACACCCCAGCCCCTCACTGGGGCATTCTAGGCAGGTGCTTTACCACTGAGCCACATCCCAGCCCGTCACTGGGGGATTCTAGGCAGGTGCTTTACCACTGAGCCACATCCCAGCCCGTCACTGGGGGATTCTAGGCAGGTGCTTTACCACTGAGCCACATCCCAGCCCGTCACTGGGGGATTCTAGGCAGGTGCTTTACCACTGAGCCACATCCCAGCCCGTCACTGGGGGATTCTAGGCAGGTGCTCTACCACTGAGCCACACCCCAGCCCCTCACTGGGGGATTCTAGGCAGGTGCTCTACCACTGAGCCACACCTCAGCCCCTCACTGGGGGATTCTAGGCAAGGGGTCTATCACCAAGTTACATCTCTACTCCTTGGTTTTTAAAGACAAAGTCTTGCTTTCTTGAACTCGCATCCTTCTACCTCAGCTTCCTGAGGCATATGCCAGTATGCGGGCCTCGGGTGATTTCTTTGTTTTCCTGAATATAGTACATAAAATTTTAAGGAATTCCTCTGAGATGCAGTTTTCTGTAGGATTTGGCTAAGAACTATCACAACATATTTAGAGCTTATTGATAAACTAATTTTTAAGTTCATTTCCAGTGTGGTTACAACTCAGGATTTCCTTTGGGAGTCTTTCCAGGACCTCAAGAGTCACAGAAGAGGGAACGGGGTCTTAGGGGGAAGTGGGTCTATTTTCCACACTGAGAAACAGGTGGGGAAGTGTGATGCTAGCATGCTTGTTCTCAGCACAGGAAGTGTGCTACGGGAAAAGAGGTCCCTACGCAATAGGGCAGTGGGACACATTTGTATTCTAAGTCTGGGAACTAGGTTTCCTGCAGTCCCAGGTGGTGGGCTGAGAGAGGCAGAGAGACACTCACCTGTGGATGAAGATGCCACTGTGCCACTCTCGTTCACCTCAATCTTCACTTTCTGCAGTGCCTGTGATACGTACAGCTGCTCTTGGACTGAAATAGAGGGGGACAGAAAGAATAGATCAACTACCACTCTGAGATTCTCCTTTGTCTTCTCTGGGGGACCCCTGACCCATGGAAATAAGAAAGCAAGAGGGAATATCTCTTACCAGAAAGGCTTGTGAAGTCAGCCTGGGCTGGGCTAAACATGTCAGTCATGCCCAAATTCTCCAGGGGCTTCCTGAGGTCAACTTCTGTCTCCAGAGAGAACCTGTAGGCAGCAGCAGGGGTCAGCTTTAATTTAGTTCTCTCTCTCTCTCTCTTTTTTTTTAATAGTTTATGAGTGTTTTGCTTGCATGTATGTAAGTAGACCATGAACATGCAATGCCTGCAGAAGCCAGAAGAGGGAGTTGGATCCCCTTAAACTGTAGTTATAGATGGTTGTTAACTACCATGTGGGTGCTGGGAACCGAATCTGGGTCCTCTGCAAGAGTAGTCAGTACTCCTAACAGCTGAGCATCTCTCCAGTTCCCCCATCCCCACCCCACCCATAGTTTGGCCCTCTCTTGCTGACAACTTGGGCCTCTCTGGTACCCTATCAGGTATCCTTTAGGACAGTTGTATGTGCAAATGGAAGGTGGTATGGTTTTGGTTTTGAGACATGGTCTCATGTGGCCCAGGCTGTCCTCAAATGTAACATAGCTAAAGATTACCTTGAACTCATGACCCTCCTCCCTTTACCTCCCAAGTGCAGGACTACAGGTGTACACAGCCATTTTTGGTTTATGTGGTGCTGGGGATGGAACCCAGAGCTTCCTGCATGCTAGGCAAGCACTCTACCAACTGAGCCACATCCCCAGCCCTGACCTCGATTGTCCTACCTCCATCTCCTCCTGGGATTTATAGGCCTTTGACACCTCGTTCAGCAAAGAGGTCTGGCTTTTTTTTTTCCTTCCTCGCTAGATATTTCTAATATTAATGAACACTCTTCAATCTCTTTACCCCCTCAAATCTGTGACTAATGACTTTCCTCAAATAAGACAGTACTTTTAGCATAATTGTATTCAGTCTGACTGGGGGATGGGAGACAAGTTCACATTCTCCCAAGGGTATCTGAACAAAACTGTGGTCTGCAGACTGTGTTATTCAGAGCTCACACAGTGAGCTGTTGGGAGACCCCCACCCCTACCCCTCTGTTTCCCACCAGAGCACAATTCATTATTTCCATCTTGATGAGAGAGAAAGAACAAAAGCCTCACTAGCTAAACAAAATTCTCCTTTCTTCAAGCCTGACATTACAGCATCTGGGAATTTAGGGTAAGCCTGGCTGGGAGCTTCCCTGTAATTCTAGAATTATCCAGCCACAGCCGTCACCACCCTTTTGATTCTGCAGAAGGAGGGAGGGAGGGAGGGAGGGAGAGAGAGAGAGAAAGAGAGAGATTCTTTGGTAATCTCAGCCAGAAGCTATGTGCCCTTTATGTGGGGTTGGGCAAACTGATGTGAGAATGGAAGAAAGAAAGGAGCTCAGGTTGGGCTTTGAGTCATGGTCTCATGTAGTCCAGGCTGACCTCAAACACACCACATAGCCAAGGATGACCTTGAAACTCATGATCCTCCTGCCTTCACCTCCCAAGTGCGAGGATTACAGGTGTACACAGCCATTACTGGTTTCTGCAGTGTTGGGATGGAACCAGGGTTTCCTGCGTGCTAAGCACTCTACCAACTGAACTACACCCCCAGCTCCCCACCCTCCTGATTTTTGAGACAGCTCTGCAGCCCAGGCTGCCTTGAATTCATCATTCTCTTGCTTTGGACTCTCAAGTGCTGGGTTACATGCTTGGGCCACCACACCCCCTCCTTTGACTCTTCTGGGTATTTTGTGGTCTATGTGAGAACATGTATAAAATCTGTTCCCAGCTGGCCAGTAGAAACAGGCAGAAGGATGATGACATCAGAAACTATAATCAAACCCAGGCTAGAGGGTTCCCACCAGCCTCCCACACATGTCCCTTTGCTGTGGGCATCACCCATCTGGGAAATTCAACATGGGGGCAGTGACTTCAGAAGAGGCGGTAAGTGTGATGGCTTACTTGGGCAGGACAAGGAGGCGGGGCAGTCTGGTCATGTTGCCTTTCCATTGTCTGATGAGCTCGGCATCCAAAACATTGGTGAGGGCAGAGAGGGGCACGTCCTTTTCGTAGGGCGCTGCGATGAACATGCTGAGGGTTTCCCCATGGTAGGGCAGTTCTAGGATGTCATAGTAGTGACCCTCTGGAGTTGTGAACTCAGCTGTGAACACATCAAGATGGCCTTGGAAATGATCCTGGTTAGTGTGGATTCCTACCCAGGCTTTCACTTGGTTCACTTGTCCTTTCTTTCTAGAAACCAAGCTTTCCCTTCTACTTTGAGGCCCTTTACTCACTTCATTGCATTCGATATGTATTTATTTATTTATTTTTTTAATTTTATGTGTATGAGTGTATTGCCTGCATATGTGTAAGTGCACCCGTGTCATGCAGTGCTGCAGCGATCAGAAGAGGGCGTTGGATTCCCCTGGAACTGGAGTTAAGGATGGTTTTTAGCCACCATGTGGGTGCTGGGAAATGAACCTGGGTCTTCTGCAAAAGCAGTCAGTGCTCTTAACTGCTGAGCCATCTCTCCAGCCCCTTATTTTGGTTTTTGAGACAGGGTTTTCCTGTAGCCCCAGCTGGCCTAGAACTCACTATGTAGACTAGGCTGCCTCCCTCTCACAGAGATCTGTTTGTCTCTGCCTCCTGAGTGCTGGGATTAAAGGTATGGGCTACCACACTCAGCCTTATTTATATTTTATGTGTATAAATGTTTCGCCTGTATGTTAAGTGCACTGTGTATGCAATACCTGCAGAGGCCAGAAGAGGGTGTCACATCCCTTGGAACTGAAGTTATAGACAGTTGTTAGCTGCATGTGGGTGCTGGGAACCAAACCCAGGTCCTCTGCAAGAGCAGTTAGTGCTCTTAACCACTGAACCATCTCTCCAAGCCCACCATGTTTTTTGTTTTTTTTTTTGAGACAGGGTCTCATGTAGCCCAAGCTAGCCTAAAACTCACTAGGTAGCCAAGCATGACCTTGAACTTCTCAACCTCTTGCCTCCACCTTCCTAGTGCTAGGATTACAGATGTGGACAACCATACCCAGTTTATGGACTGGGGATGTCATCCAGGGCTTCATGCATGCTGGGAAAGCAGTCTACCCACTGAGCTACAGCTCCATTTTGGTGTCTTTTTTTCTTGACCTTCTCTTTCCTCTCTCTGATCCCAGCCACTAATCAGCCCCATCCCCAAATTCTCACTCTTAACCTCCACATGGCCTTTTTTCCTAGCATGTTTTTTGGCTCCAGGTAAGCACACTAGAAACCTATCAAAAGATAGGTAAGGTAAAGAGGACAGTTAGATGTGGATCTGGGGAATACAGATTTCAACTTCATTTAGCCTGAGAAGAACTGACCCTGTCCTCATTCATATTAGCTCAGCATCTCCTGCTTAGTAATTTTTTGTAATAAATTGAATGTGTTCTGGGGTTAGAGGGCATCTCCACCATCTTCTTCCCTCTGAGGGTGACACTGTAGGTTGCTGGGGGTCTGTAGTTGGGAGATGTGGGGAATGTAGATCTTGGACTTACTGTAGTTGAACTTGTTGGTCTGAGCCATCATGGGCACAGAGACTGTGCTGCCATCAGACTTGTGGAAGAGGCGGTGGTGGGTGCTGGATTCTGCAAAGGGCGTCTTCCACTGGCCTTTGAAGTACAGGGCATTCACTAACACAAGGCGGGTCAGCTGATCCACGGTCCCTTCTGCAAGCAAGTCTTTGATCATGCCTGAGGGAAAATGAGTAGATCGGGAAGTTAGGTTTTCAGCCTTTTAGATGGTTTCCTTCCTTTCCTAGTCCTCAATTGGTGTATATTGAAGGGGGCCAAAGATCAGGAGGGGTTAAGTGGATCAATGCCATTCCTTCAATTGTTCCATTTTCTGAAGGGTCTCAAGAAGTTTTTCAGTTCACACATTCTCTCTCTCTCTCTCTCTCTCTCTCTCTCTCTCTCTCTCTCTCTCTCTCTCTCTCTCGGAATAGAACTTGGGTTCTTGGCCATGTTAATTGAGAACTCTACCACTGAACCTCTATCTCCAGCCTTTCTTTTTGAGACAGGATCTTGGTATATAGCTCAGGCTGACCTTTGGAACTCATGATTCGCTTGTCTCCACCTATAGAAAGCTGAGATTACAGGCATGTGCCGTTATATCCAGCTCTGAACTGCTCCATGAAAAAGCCTAATTAAGAAAAACATTATGGGTTTAGGGTCATAGCTCAGTGATAGAACACTTGCCCAGAATACTCCAGTGAGGGGCTGAGGGTGTGGCTCAGGGGTAGAGTGCTTGCCTAGCATGAATGAGGCCCTGGGTCCTATCCTAGCACCACAGGATAAAAGGGAAAGCACTTGCCCTCTGTCCACAAAGACAAAGCTGAAAGGGAGCTGGAGACACAGCCATTGACACTGAATTCCCTTTCCCAGCCTGCTCACCTTTGGTGTGCTTCTCCACCCAGTCATTGATGATGAATCTCGCTCTCTCCACCTCTGAGAAGTCCACCTGCTTCACTGTCCTCCGGAAGAGTCTGAAGAAGTGGGGCATGAAGGCCTGGACCAGTTCCAGGTCCCGCTGGACAAAGATGGTATCTGTGGTGCTGATCTCACCCTGGTTCCAGGGCCCCAAGAGCTGTTTGGACAGCCGACGGAGGGCAGGGGCTGTGCCCTTCTCTGCAGAGGGAGGAAGGACAGGGTACATGAAGCTCATGCTAAGGCAAGGGCTCTCAGGCTCACCAGCTTTCTCCAGGAGACTCTCCCGGTGGGCGGGGTTATCTGTGGAGGGAAATTTCTTTCCAAACTTAAAAAAATATTTGATATATTTTATGTATTTGAGTACTTTGCCTGCATATGAGTGTACCCATGTTGTACAATGCTCACAGAAGCCAGAAGATCCCCTGGAACTGGAGTTATGGACAGTTGTTAGCTGCCACCTGGGTTTTCTGCAAGAGCAGCCAGTGCTCTTAAGTGCTGAGCCATCTGTCTACTTTTTTCTTTACTTTACTTTATTTTCTTTTCTTTTTTCCCTCTTTCTCTTCTTTTTTTCTTTCTTTTTGTATCCCTGGCTGGCCTGGAACTCATTATACAGACCATGCTGGCCTCCAACTCACAGAGATTCACTTGTCTCTGTCTCCTGAGTGCTGGGATTACAAGCATGAGCCACCACACCCAGCTTGCTTTTTTGCTTTGTTTTGAGACAGTCTTGCTGTGTAGCCCAGCCTGGCTTGGAACTTGATATATAGCCCAGGCTGACCTCAGACTCACAGTCTTTCTGTCTCAGTCTCCCAAGTGCTGGGATTACAGGTATGCACCACCATACCTACCTAAGTCGTCCTTATAATAATTGTGTTACCAAGTAATTCATGTTCATAATTCTATGAAGTATTTACACAGTCCTGTGCAGTAGGCATTTTGTTAGCCCCATTATTTTGATAATAAAACTGAGGTTTTAGAAGAGTTAAGGTCACAAACCTTCTGTTTTTTAAAACAGGGTTTCATGTAACCAGGCTGGCCTTGATATGTAACCAAGGATGACCCTGAACTTCTGATCCTCCTGCTTCCCCCTCCAGAGTGCTGGGATTATAGGAGTGTATCACCATATTCAATTTCATTTGATGCTGCAGAAGGAACCTGGGCTTTGTGCTACATGCTGAGCTACATCCCCAACCCCAAAGTCACCACAGTTCATATAAGCTTTGGCCATTGGCTGGTACCACCCCAGACAAGTCAAAACCAACTGACCCAGGGTAGAAGATGGCTAGTCCCTGGCCTGCAGCTGAGCACGACTGAACTTGGCTAAGCTGGAGCCAGCCTTTCCCCCAGCCTCCCTGTTGCCACCCCCCCCCGTGACTGAGTACCTCCTGACCCCCACAACCCGAGGTTGCCCTGCCCCTCACCGTTGATTTTGAATCCCATCGCATCTTGGATCTGATGTCTGGTATCTCCTGCTGTAGTTAGCTGCAGCATAGCCAGCACTGAGGAGACCCCATAGGGGGAGAAAACCACATTGCGGTCCTTGGAAGCCTGCACCACCTGCTGGAACACTTTAACACCAAAGTCGGTGGCCCGGCGTGCTGTCTGGGAGTCTCGAAGGTGCAAGGCAGACCCTTCGCCAAATAGGAGAATCAGGCCCAACGTGAGGCCAACAAATGCTGAAGATGTCCACATCCTAGGACAAGCAGAAGAGGATCTGAAGAGATGGATGGTTCTGGAAGACTGTTCAATGGGGGGGGCATGGCACCCCAATCATGGACTAGGCTTTCTTTGCTTGCCTCTACAGGTCTCATAATGCAATTGGATGCTGAGCCTGTACCCCTCTGCTTCCAAACAATTCTTTTATTTTCTTGGTCTTTTCGAGACAGGGTCTCCCTGTAGCCACAGCTGGCCTGGAACTCACTATGTAGACCAGGCTGGCCTTGAACTCACAGAGATTCACCTGCCTCTGCCCCTCAAATGCTGGGATTAAAGGCATGTGCCACCACACCCGGCCAAACAATTCTTTTTAAAGATAGAGTCTTGTTATGTAACACAGGCTGGTCTTGAACTCAGGATCCTCCTGCTTCAATCTTTCCAAGTGCTGGGGTTACAGGCATTTATACCCCTAGATTCTGATTTTCTTTTTCTTTTAAGACAGGGTTTTATGTAGCCCTGGCTGTCCTTGAACTTACTATGTAGACCAGGTTGGCCTTGAACACACAGAGACCTGCCTGCCTCTGCCTCCTGAAAGCTGGGATTAAAGGTATACACCACCATGCCTGACTCCTTATTGTTTGTTTTTATAAATCACTGGTCAGTGAAGAAAATTGCTTTGCTATGTTGAGAGAGAGGATCTTGCTGGAGAGGAACGGAGAGGGTCAATGTCCTTGTTGGAAGTGGGATGTAGCCATCTTCCTGGACCACCTGTGGTCCCTGTTGGGCCCAGGGGGATGCAAGGCAGCAGGGTTCCAGGGAGGGGTGGAAGAAAAAAATAGGAAAAGTGGAGAGGACAGATGGAGAGTTCTGAGAAGGGAAATTCTCTTTCCTTAAAGCCTGAGGTAAGCGACCCAGCTTGCCTTTCTCCTACCTGAAGTTTTCAAAGGTGGCTTGCGATTGACTGCCCTGCTCGGTGACTGTGTCTCAGCTGTCAGGCTGGCTGTGTCCCTCTGGCTGTGTCCCGCTGCAGGGGAGTGTGACTTTCTTTATTCTTCGCAGGCCCTCGGCCCTGCAGCAGCCAGATCCAGCTGTGTTCTGCTCTGCAGCTGCTGCCTCCCTTTATACCAGATGTGGGCAGGAAATAGATGAACTCATGTTCTAACCCCACCCACTTTCTGGCTTTAGAAATCTGTCTGGGCTGCCTGCCCTGCCCTGCCCCCATCTCTCCCTCTCAGGGACTTGCTGGGGCAAGTGTGTGTGTGTGTGTGTGTGTGTGTGTGTGTGTGTGTACATGTGTGACGGGGGGCTCGGATTGAGCAAACCCAGATTGCCTTGACTGCCTTGAACATCCCTTGTTCCTTCATCTTTGGTTGTTCTGTCACCTTCGCCCCTGGCAGTACCAAAGAGTCCACAGGGACTGGTATTTGGACCCCCCTCTTCATGCTCAGTTTGCAGAAACACGACTGGCGTGTCCCCCTTTTCCTTTGGAGAAGCTGATCAAAAAACCTCTAATGAGGGACTGGAGAGATGGCTCAGTGGTTAAGAAGTCTTGCAGAGAACCCAGGTTCGGTTCTCAGCATCAATATGGTGGCTAACAACTGTCCTTAACACCAGGTCCAGGTGATCGAATGCCTTCTTCTGGCTCTCATGGGCATTGCATGGGTGCATTTACATACATGCAGGCAAAACATATACATAAAATAAAAATAAATCAATAAAAAGTTTTTCTTTTAAAGCTAATGATTCTTTGGACATTTTCTGCTAGTGCTGTCTGTCCCATGTGCACATTGGGTCAACCTCCAGGGAAAGTCTGCCAGCCCTTCCTTTGGGTCTCTGCCCAGTGACTAGAGGGCATGTGCCCTGTGATTGGGTTCTGATTTGTCTTGGACTTGAGCCCAACAGAGTAGTCCAGGTTCCTTCCTTCATCCCAGCCGTGTACCTGCTAGGCCCGCTGTGAACCACGGCTGACTCCCCACACGTGTCCAGACTCTCCCGGTGCCCCTGAGGGCTCTCTCCTTATGTTGGTAGCCCTGTCTGACTGGGGTTTGAGGTGTATTGGGTGAGGCACTGGTGGCTGAATGGGTCCAGGGGTTGCTATGGCAAAGTCTTGTCAAGGAACAGAGGTGGGTGGGCAGCATGGAACTGCCTAGGATGACTGACAGAGAAGGTTTTTGTTATTTCTTTTTTTAAAATATTTTATTTATTATTTTAATTTTATGTGTATGAGTGTATTGCCTGCATGTATGTGAGTGCACCTATGTCATGCAATGCCGTGGAGGTCAGAAGAGGGCTTCGGATTCCCCTGGAACTGGAGTTAAGGACAGTTCATAGCCACCATGTGGGTGCTGGGAATCGAACCTGGGTCCTCAGCAAGAGCAGTCAGTGCTCTTAACCGCCGAGCCATCTCTCCAGCCCCTGTTGTTTCTTTTTTAGAGATTTCATTTTGAGAGAGAGTCTCATGTAGTCCCAGATTGACCTCAAATTTATTAAGTACCTGAGGATAGCCTTGAACTCCTGATCTTCCTGCCTCCAGGTCCCAAGTGCTACAATTACAGGTGTGCAGCATCACACCTGGTTCATGCAGTGCTGGGGATAAAACCCAGGACTTTGTGCATGCTAATCAAGCACTCTACCCACTGAGCTATACCCGCTGCAGATGAGTCCTTTAGAGGATGGACATTATAGCTTAGCACATAGTAGGACCAGGCTGGTGACTTTGAAGGTTAGATGCTCTTAACCATGCAAACCTGAATGTTGTGGATGGAAGGATAGTTAGAGAGGTCCCAGATGATCTTGTGGTGGAGGGGGGCTTGACCTTGGGGTCCATACTCTGACATCTTTTGTGTACGTGATGGGGTTCAATTGGAGTATCCATGGATACAGCTGTCAGGCTAGTCATAGGAAGCTTATGTGGGTGGTAGCACTGGGATATTTGTTTGGGGTTTTCTGTAAACAGATGCCCTGGGTAACCATGAAGGAAAGCTTTCTCATCTCCATGCTGGCTCCAGAGTCAGGTGGGAGTGGGAAGGTCAGGAAAAGAGGGGAAACCTCAGTTGGAAAGTTAGGCTCACAGACCCAGTGGAGAGATGTTCTTACCCATCTGCTGTTTGTTTATGTCTTTTTTTTCCTTTTCCATCTGTGGCTTGGAAGGTCTGAGAGAGGACACTTATCTGGGAGAAAGAGGCAATTGTTCTTGCTTTCTCTGAGGGAGAAGACACAGTCCATCCCTGTCCTCTTCTCTTACCTGTAGAAACTTTGTCCCCAACCTTGTACTCCATCCTTAGAGGTCAGAGGGACCTAGGGACCTGGGTGTCTGGGTTAGGAGTGTTAACCAACAACGATTCTGGAAAAGGAATGGTGGATGCAACTGGATGTAGGCCTCTCTCCTCAGGTGCTCTGTGTAGCTAAGTTACTCTCTCTTCTTGTAACTGTCATTGTCACATCTTTCCAGGTCTCTGCCATCAAGACCCCTGCTATTTTCCAAGGCTGCACTAGCCTTGGCCATGTTGCAACCAGTTCCATCCTAACTCAGGTGTTCCTACTGGGGCGAGAATCAATTTGGGATACTTTGGAAATGGAAAAACTTGACTTATGAAGGAGAACTTTTGAAACTTTCTTATTCTCTTTCTCTCCTTCCTTCCTTCCTTCCTTCCTTCCTTCCTTCCTTCCTTCCCTCCCTCCCTCCCTCCCTTCCTTCCTTCCTTTCTCTTTCCTTCCTTTTTCTTGGTGGAAAGGACAGTAGAGACAGTCTTTCTAACCTGACTAGCCTAGAACTCACTATATGGACCAGTTTGGACTCAAACTCACAGCAATCCTCCTGCATTTACCTCCCTAGTGTTGGAATTATAGGCATGGACTACCATGCCCAGCTTGTGGTTTTAAAAATTATTTATTTATTTTTATGTGTATGAGTATCTTACCTGCATGTAAGTGCACCATGTGCATGCAGTGCCCAAAGAGGCCAGAAGAGGGGTGTTGGATCCCCTGGAACTGGAATTATAGACAGTTGTTAGCTGCCATGTGGGTGCTGGGAATTGAACCGGGTCCTCTGCAAGAGCAGTCAGTACTCTTAATCGCTGAAGTATCTCTCCAGCCCTTGTATGTTTTTGTTTTTTAAGACAGTGTCCTATGTAACCCAGGCTTGTGGTGACCTCACAATCCTGAGCACAGTCCCTCAAATGCTAGGATGACAGACAAACATCACCACACCCAGCATCCTAATGGGACTTCTAAACTAGAGTAGACCTGAGGGTGTCTGGCAGGTGGGTTTTAGAAACTGAGGCAATGCGTCCATGGGATGGCTCAGTACCTCCAAGCCTGACAACATGAGTTTAATGTTTGGAACCCACATGGTAGAAGGCGAGAACTAACTCCTGAAAGTTGTCCTCTGACCTGCACATGTACACTATGACACACACAAATAAATAAATCCATGGGGAAAAAAAGAAACCGAGGCCGAACTTATCAGAATGAGGTCTCATGCAATTTCTGTTTCTTCTTCCCTCCGTCCCTCCGTCCCTCCATCCCTCCCTCCTTCTATCCTTTCCCTTCTTTTCTCCATCCCTTTCTCCCTCCCTCCCTTCTTTCCTTCCTTCCTTCCCCTTCTTTCTTCCTCACTATGTAGACCAGGCTGGCCTCTATCTCAGAGATCCATCTGCCTCTGCCTCTCAAGTGCTGGGATTAAAGGTGTGCACCACCATGCCCAGTCCCATCTCTGTTTCTTTGCTGAATCAGGACCTGCTTAGATGGTCCTGAACCTAGACAAGCCATGGTCCTTGTCTGTCCTCTCTACCTACGTGACCTTGGACTTGGGGAAAAGCTAGCCTTCCACCCACAGGACACAGCTTCCTGTGGGATTTCTGGACAGTGTGTGTGTGGGAGGGGGTCATCCTCCCTAAGACCTCTGTGTGACACCCTTCTCAGAATCTAACCTGACTCACACCATTGTGTCACTTTCTCTTTTTCTTCTTCCTCTAGAACCCCAAACCACTTTGACCTAATATTCTTCAACTTTTGGTTCTTTTGTAACAGGGAGGGAAGTAAGTGCTCAATGGAGAGCAAGAAAAGTCCCTGCTGTCGAAATAAGTCCATCCCTGCTTTCCACAGGATTAGAGATAAGAGCATGAGTTACGTGGGGCTGTGGATTTCTGGGGAAGTTCCAGGGCAGCCAACTGGGAAAGACGTGTCCATTTGGTCCCTCTGCAGGTGCTTCATTAACTGGAGCAGACTTGTATTTTCCATGACTGACCCCTACTTCCTCCCTCACGTAGTAGCTGGCTTTACTAAGGCCCCAGGAGCCATGGTTCTCCTTTACTCTTGGCTCTCTTAATTATTTTATTTTATTCTATTTTATTTGTATATGTGTATTGCCTGCACGTATTGCACCCGTGTCGTGCAATGCCTGCAGAGGTCAGAAGGGGATGTTGGATCCCTTGGAAATGGAGTTAAGGATAGTTGTTAGCCACCATGTGGGTGCTGGGAATTGGACCTGGGTCCTCTGCAAGAGCAGCCAGTGCTCTTAATCACTGAGCCATCACTCAAGACCCAACTCTTAACAATATTTTTAAAAAACATTTATTTATTTGTGTGTGTGGATTCAGAGGACAACTTTGAGGAATTGGTTCTCCTTCCACCATGTGGGTCTCAGGGATCAAATTCATGTCCCCAAGCTTGGCAGCAAGTGTCTTTACCCACTGAGCCATCTCTCCAGCCCCTCCTCTTGATTTTTTGCCCCCTTATCCTCTTGCTTACCCTCCCTCTTGCATGGTTCTTGTTCTCACTCAGAGCTGTCTCTCTTCCTCCCTCTTTGTCCGATTTCCCTACGTCACTCAAGATAACCCTATCTGTCACTTCCTCCTCTAGTTTCTGTCTCATAGCTTTTGCCCTGTGTCTCCCAAAGGCTCCTCACTCCCTGTCCTCTGTCCTCTGACTCAATCCTTCTTTCCTTTTCTTTTGCCTTCTAGAATCCCTTTTACAGTCAAATTCCAGCTTCCAGGCCCTTCCTCTGGGAAGAAGGCTGTGCCTCCTGCCAGTAGTTACACAGGCTCTCTGGAATGCTGGGTCCAGCCCCCCATATGCCTGGTGATTTCACTGGGAGAGCTGG